ACGCCCATGAATCATAGATATATGGTGGCGAAAATTATAATTCCCATGCCATAGAGTACCCAAGGATATTTGGCTTAGCGGAGGACGAGCTAAATCACCAAATAGACAAACTACTTAATATAAAAACTATATAAGTAATTTAAAAAAATTAAAAAATTAGTTAAGTTAGTTATTTATAATAAATATGTGTTGATTATTTAAAATTATTTTTATTAATTATGTGTATTGAAATTATCTTTCAGGGGTTTGTTTGTTATGAAGAAAATGGAGGGAAAGGAAATGGGAGAAAAAACTTTAATGAACTCAATTTAAAAAATTTAAAGAAGTAGGTTAAAAACTTTTAACTAATTTTGCTTACTTTTTTATTTTATATCTTCTCTTTATCAAAAGTTTATAATACCATTTTTTATAATTTTTTAAATCGAGCTTATTAAAATTTTTCCTCCCCTTACAACAAACAAGTTAGTGAAAACCCTTTAATTAACATATAAAATTGATAGAAATACTTTTAAAAAATTATATATTAAAAAATAAAGTAAATTAAAATATTATATTTAAAACTAAATTTAATCTCAACAAACTCTTATATGTAAAGCTCGGGTTAGCATTGCTGAAAAAAATCTAACAATGGGTGATTCCTAATTCTTTTTTAAAAGAAAAAGAAACCGAAATTCCCTTTAACATTGATATGGCAAGAGATTCAGGCCCCAAAAAAAATGGCAAGAGGACCCCACAATAGGATGGTTACTCATCAAAAATATCTTATGAGAAGCAATGTTTGGGTGGGTTTATTAAAATACACTATTTTTACTCAAAAGTAAATGCTATGTAATTGTCTAAAACTCTTTCAGTCCTATATATAGAATACACTGAATTAATTAGATCAAAAAGTTATTTTCTAAATATACTTTTATTTACAGAGATAAAGAAAGATTAATGAGTAAGAAAAGCGGCATGTGAGAGATAATCAATTTTACGATATAACATGGAATTAATTGGAATGGTTAAAATTTCAGATATCCTTTAAATATGTCTTATAAATTATATTAAAAAAATTCTTATATATAGTACTATGGAATTGTAATGATTAACTGATTTGTGAGGTAAAATAGCATGAACTATGGTAATAAAGAATTAATAAGTGTAGCAGAATGAGAACTAAAATAAATTTTAGACCAAAATAATGATGATGTGAGTTCTGAGATTGAGCACATGCATGGTTGTCCCACTCAAATTTAAAAGTTGGTTTGGCATTTAATTATCTTTGCTTCGCTCTTTGAAGACACAACACGTCCCTACTGCTTTAAAATTAAAGCATTTCGCCTTTTGAGCTTAATATTCTTATTCAGCAACTTCGTTCTTTTTTAAGCTTTAGCAGCCTCAAGAGTTTCTTACGAGAAATTCTCTGTTATTCCTAGTATGCAGTTTTATTTCATTTTATCCTATATTAATTAATTTTATCATATTTTTTTATTGTGTTCTGTATGGAGAATATTCACTGTTTTATATTCGTTCCGTTTGGGGAAAAAGAAAATTGCGGACCCTGATTTAGTTTTTTTGTTTATTTTGAAATGGGACAAACAAAAAAATTGCCTTTTATGAATAATTTTTTTTAAATCATCAATTCATTTATCTACATACTATAAGTGTTAGAAAATAAAAGGAGGAGGAAAAGCAACTTATTTCAGATCCAGGTTTGTTATTGTTGCTCTCACGCAGAATTAAATTAAAGTCTAAGTTAGAGTGCAAATATACAATAAGAGGGGACATTTTTCGTATTCACACAAATTTGAATTTGACATCTCACACATAAGTGACCAAGGTCTCTTTCATCACTAGAATCAATACTTACTGGTTATTCAAACAAATTCTGTTAAACAATAAAGTAAACCAACATTAACAATAACAATAAATAAACTGGAACAATGGTTTAAAGTAAATTATACACATTTTTTCGTATAGTGCATATGAAGTCTAATGAATGAACTATAATGTCTATAATTTGTAAACAGTGAGGCTTACAATAAATTTTGATCAACAATCACCCACATCTTGTCTATACTTAAAAGTTAAAACACATGTTTATATAATACTACCTCCGATCTTTATTATAAAATCTTGTTTGATTTTTATTTTGGTCTTAAATATAAGACTCCAATCCACATTATCTCTTATATTTATATATTCTTTTTTCAAGGTAGTCCTTTTAACAATGATAGTTCTAACCAATACACTTGTTTAGTAGGGATATTTTAAAAAAGACAATACCTATTTATTACAAATAATTAACTTAACTTCTTTTCTTAATCTTTTAAAATTAGTTAACTAACTCTTATAATTAAGATTACAAGTAATATAAGCAATTTAGAATTGAGGGCAAAAAAACAAATGTGGAACAGACATATAAAATTTTGAATAGAAGTGATTTGGTAGCTTTTTGAGAATGGAAGAAAGATTTTGACTTTGGTTTCACGACTGCCAACATTTATCATCATTATTTTTCTCTAATCGTCCGTCTGACTCTGGGTACGCACTGCGCAGGGCCTGTCTGCTTTTTTTTTTTTTTTGGGGGGGGGTGTTTTGCCTGGAGTAAGCATGCATGTGTGTGTCTTTAGTGTGTGTGTCTTTAGTGTGTCAACTGTCAAGATCGGTGGAATTTATGGAAGCGTGCAACTGCGAGGCCAATAATAATAATTGTGCATGTGTGTCTGTCATAGAAATGCGTGGTTGCTAGTGTTCCCTCGAAATGTGATCACCATAAAACCCTAGCCAACCTAAATATATTCTCCTAATAATCATATTTATAAGAAAATTTCAACACGTTTTACTATAATTTAAAAAAAATAAATGTTATTAATGACTTTGATTTAAATTTTAATAAATTTTAATTTATTCTTATTTAATATATATATATACACTTTTTAATAAAATCACAATCACAATAAATTAGAAAAAAGAATGTGCATTAATACTACCTTTGGTCCTATTTATAATAACTCAATTGTAGATTCTAAACAAGATTTTATAAATAGGATCGGAAGTATTATAATAGATTTATGGGTTAATACTGTCTTTAATCTTTGAAAGGTGATCTCATTTTGATTTTAGTTTTTAAAATTTGAAATTAGGACACCCAAAAAAAATACTCTTGGCGACTTGGCCCCAGAATTTGTTCCCTGAACAAGGGTTTTAGGGACCAAAAACACTATTTTAAGAACAAAATTTTTTAATCAAATTAAAATGAGCTCGAATTTTAGGAATCAAAACTATTAATTGGTTTTATATTTTGGATACTAAAATCAAAATGAGATCAAATATTAAAAACTAAAGGCGACAATAGTAATGATCCTGGGTTTAATGAGATGACTTGTATTAGTGAGAAGAGAATTACTATTGCTATCCTGCAAAGGGAACCAGAGGAGTATATATACAGGAAGAGGATGATGAGCTGGTTGATTTGAAATGAATTAGGTGAAAAGCAAAAGAGCAGTGCCACAGATAATAAAAGGGAGAATTGCAATTAGGTCCCACTCAAGGGAATTAAATGTAAAAAGGTTTCTTGAAATCATGAAATTATTCTGAAGTCTTAAGAGATCTTTTTGCAATAAATTTTATTTGTTTAATTACCAAATTACCCTTCTTCTTTTTTTTTTTTAAGTTTGCATTGACAACTGAAAGAGCAGTGGTTGACAACTTAGGGTGCAAGGATTGACAACTATCGCGGCTGGTTTGACAACACATTTTCTCAGCATATCACACCATAAGTTGTCAAATCAGCCGCGATAGTTGTCAATCCTTGCATCCTGAATTGTCAACCACTGCTCTTTCAGTTGTCAATGCAAACTTAAAAAAAAAAAAGAAGGGTAATTTGGTAAGTAAACAAATAAAATTTAATGCAAAAATATTTTTAGGACTTTAAAATAATTTCATGATTTCAAGGGACTTTTTCGTATTTAATTCCCTTGAGTAGGACTTAATTGCCATTTTCCCATAATAAAAAGAGGAAGAAGAACAAATTAAGAGGTGACACAAACAGAAACAGGGACACAGAGAGACACATGCAGAGATGAAAGGAGAACATGTGAAAGGTATTAATGGTGGGGCTAAGGGTGTGCGTTTCTTGGAGGGTAGTGGCACATGCAAGAGGGGCAACCCACATGCGAGCCCATGTGCCCTCTCTTACGCCACCCCCTCCCTTCCAATAGCCTTTCATTTTCCCCTCATCATCTTCTTCCTCCTCCTGCTCATTACGTACCCCATGGATTCACTTCTATACCTTCCTAGCTAGCTAGCCTCGTCACCTTCTTTAATTTTTGTGCGTGTTGTCCGTGCGTGTGTCTGCAAACATGTTCATTATTCAATAATCTAGCTAGCTTCCTAGCTAACTCCTTATCCCCCCCCCCCTCTCTCTAATAATTTGCTGCCTCGGTTGGCCTCCAGGTATATTCATACGTGTTGCAAAGATAATTCTTTTTGCGAGACTATTCCTGTATCAGCATACTCTCCATGAATATTCAAATTGTACTTGTACCTTGTTGGATTAGCAGTGACAATAATGAATGCTTTCTTAATTTGGTTCTTAATTGTCTTTCCTAAAGTGATTAACAGCTAATTAATTTGAATAATTCAAGCCATATTAGGACAATCTTCAACTAAACGCACGCATTTTGCTTTTTGAGGTACATACTGTTTTCATTTAATTAGGTTCATAGAAATATTTATTACTTTTGTTTATTCTCTTTCATCCAAAAATAGACTTAACTAATGAGCCATTATAAATAAGCAGGCTTCATGAGTGTATATATATGTATATATAATACTCTATCCGCCACTGTGTCTTGTGTGATTCAACCGGCAGTCTGCACTCAAAGCTTTGGTTTGCACCCATATCTCCATCCTCTCGTCGCTCACACCTTATATCTCCCACATATTATTCCTTCAACCCCATTTTTAATTCCCCCTCCTCCTCCTTCTCCTTCTTCTTCTTCTTCTTGTGTTTAATGGAGGGTTTGGCAGTTAAACGCAGACGGGTTTACTCTGTGGAACCAAACAGAATAGCCGAAGCAGCGTTTGCGAGGAAGTACGTGAGCTATCTAGTTCCAGCCTTGACGAAGATGAAGGAAAGCACTGAGAGTGATTCAGTCAAGAAGGCTGTGAAGTACGAAGTGGACATGGCTCTGGTTTTGTCAGCTCAGGGTTCTGCATGGAGCCACGCCCTAAAACTCAGTCTCCAGCAACAAAACGTCGTCCTCAATAATGGAGCACTGTCTTCTTCTTCCTCATCAGCATCAACCACAACCAAGAAAGCCGCCATGGTGAACGAGTGTGATCAGAATCTGAGGATGGCAGCGGCTGCAGACCACGACGGAGAAGATGGCGGCGGCGGTGAGGAGAAGGAGGCGATGAGGAGGCTAAGAAGATTGGTCCCAGGAGGAGAAGAGATATGCAATGACCAAGAAATGCTTGCAGAGTTGAAGAGTTATGTCAGGTGTCTGCAAATGCAGGTCAATATTCTGCAGTGTCTGGCCCAGTCTCATTCATTTTAATTTCTTCTTTCTGCTTCTGCTATAGTAGTTATTATTTCACAGAACCATATTTTTTACTTTATCAGGTTAATTATATTACGTTATATTTTGTTCACAACGCCAAAAATTTATATAGCTTTGTTGAATTTCCCCCTCTAAACTATGACTCTAGTTTTTTTCACTGAATCAAAGCTAAGTGTAACGAAGGATCTTCCTTTAAATTTGTCGCAGAGATCCATTGATATGAACAGGTTTTTGTTCTTCATTTAAATTTTTAATGAGCAATAGATGTATGTGCGTAATTATATATACACGCGAGAACATAACATGATGTGAAAGGAACCCATTTTAAAACTTTCCACAGGGTGGGATTTTCGGATGATATGTACATTTACATTGTATAGTTTTTTTTTTATTGTTATTGTTAACATGTGTTTTTAGTTGTTGTTGTTAATTTAGAGGTGATATCACCTTGCATGTGTCTAGCATTTGGGGTACATAATTAAGGCTCTTATTTTAAGTTTTTAGATGATACTCATATATTACAAGCTAAGATAATGTCAAAACAATCATCAAAGTTTATGTGAGAATATATTCTCATCAATTGTTGATAGGGTTCCAAAAGAAAATATATTTATTTACTAACAAGAGTTGGGTTTAGCAGAAGTGGCTAGTCCCTCATAGCATGACAAACTAAGGTTCGAATTTTCACTTAATGATGTGCCCATATTTAGTGTCTAGCAATACTTCAAATAGAATTGTCTCCAACAGGATAATATCTGTGCTTAGCAAAAAAAAATTTACTTTAATTAACTTATAAAGGGTAATATATGTCAATAATTTAACTAACAACTCATATTTCTATAATTCAGTAATTTACTGTGGGGTAATTTTGGCTGTGGTGTAGAAAAGGAAATACAAAAGTATCATACAAGACGAATTGGGCCACATGAGACATACACGGAGAGGTTGGGTCTGTGCTAAAGAAACAACTTTGCCTTGCTAGCCCACAAAGTTTTGTTTTTGTTAATTTTGTACATAAATATCTGATTTTATCATTGAAAAATAAAAAACCAACCATAATTTTTATTTTTCAAATTTTAATATAGGGTAAAAATGCACCCAATAAATTAATCTTATTTTTCATATGCATCGAACAGTTTAACTTTTTAGTAGGACAATATTACTTAGCACTAGGTGATAGGGCTGCTTTATCCTTCTAAATGCCAAATCATACTATTTATAATTTATGAAGTTCATGATGCACCAAATTAAACTCACATCTAGCTGCTGCTGCTGCTGCTAAGGCTCTGTTTGGATAGCACTCCAAACCATGGTTTGGGGAAAATGCTACCCAAACAGCCTCTCCAAAAACCAAAACCATGGTTTTGGGTCAAAACCATGGTTTTGACTCCAAAACCATGGTTTTGGAAAAAGCAAAATTTTTTTGCTTTTGGAGAAAAAAGGGAGAGTGTGAGGGCCTATATGATATGTATCTTGTTATTTTTTTTATAAACATATTTTTTTATAAATATATTTAATCTTATATTTTATAAATATATATAGACATTAATTATTTATTAATTATATTATCTTATGTATTATTAATTATGTTGGTAAAAACATATTATTAACAATTTTATTTCTTCAAATTAAAATATATCATAAAATCTATTTTTTCTGTAATTATCATATTAACTTATGTCTTTTTTTTAGTAATTTGTATATATAAAAAGTGCTTCTGATAACAACTATCCAAACACTCTCACTTCTCAGAATCACTTTTTTACAAAATCTATTCTTCACAGAATCTATTTTTTCCAGAATCTATTCTCCAGAATCACTTTTCCAAACCACGGTTTGGTTTCATCCAAACACACCCTAAGTTAAAAGGAAAGTGTTTTCAAAATTAGTAGAAGCAAAGAGACTGCAAGAAGACAAGAACGTTACAAGGAAGGAAAAAACAGTTGTAAGAACATATATTTACCTTTGTTAACACTGAGTCTTGAGTCTTATATTTAAGATTAGAAGAGTAGAAAACAGAGATTATATCAATACAAATATTGGATCGTGGAGATTACACCACCTTCAGTCATTAATATAAGACTTAGTTAACTAATTTAAAAAGATTAAATAAATTAAATAAATTTTTTTAAAGTATTTATAATTATCATTTTTTTAAATTAATTTGTCTGGCTGATAAATTAATATACACAACATAATGATACATAAAACTATCATAAAGAAATCACATAACATATATTTTACTTAAATAATTTATTTAGGTTTTTAATTTTTTAAATTAATTAACTGAGTCTCATATTAAAAATTGAAAGTAGTACACATATTCATCTGGTTCTATTTATAGGGTATTGAGAGAAATTTTTTATATGGATATACAATTTCACCCTTCATTTATTTTTGTGTTGATTTTGTTTAGATAATATATAATGTATGTTCAATAAAGATAAAGTCAGAAAGTTATTGAATTTTAAATGAGATTTAATAAAATTTAAGATTTTCTTGACCTACGTGAAACATTTTAAAAGCGACTTATAAATAGAATCAGATAAATATATAACAAGGGAGGTTTGTTAAGCGCAGCTGAATGGTTTCCAATGATATGAGCATTAAGAGCAAATTAATTAATTCAGACATTCATTAGTCTTTCTAACCACGTGCCAAAAAATGTCTAATTTCTTCAATTTAGTTAATCAAATAATAAAACCTTGTTTATCTGTGAGATCTCTAGCACTTCAACTGAGTCAAGGGCAAAAAAAAATCTCTGCCTTGTTTGTGTGCGTGCGTGCGTGTGTGTGTGTTTGGACGGAACACGAAATATCGATTCGTCTAATTCTATGGCGCCACGTGGCGACTTGAGGATCAGAAAATGGATTGGCAGTTCAGCTTTAATCCCAGGAAGGCGCACTCATTTTGAACTCGTTCACCGAAGAAACAGAGCAAACCGGAGACTCTGCAACTCGTTGATATGTGGTCTCGCCAAAGCTTCCTCACCAACGCCCTCATTCCCCTTCCCCACAAACCCTACGCCCCACCTCCTACTTCCCATAAATTCATCTCTTGCAGTTATTCTCAACGTGATGGACAAGATTCCCCCAGGTGTCTATCGAATTCCTTCAATTCAATTGGTTCACCGTCTTCTAGATTCAAGGGCTTTTTTTTTTTCCCCCAGAATATGACGCTGCTAAATTTTCGAATGCTCTTTATGTTGTTTAAACTATCTTACACTCAATGCTGTTTCTCGTGATTGTGATTATTCAGCATGCCAATGTTTCCTATTGGGGAAACGTTTGTCGTAAGTGAAGCTACAAATGAGCATTTTTCACTTGAGATTTCATCAAATCATTATTTTAAGTTAAATTACGTGGCAAATTGGCGATATAGAGATAACAGTAGTGCTGGTGTGCTTTGACATGTTGAGTAATTAACGGGGTTGATGTGGTTAGGAAGAAAGAGAATAAGTTGGCCAAGTTAGCACTAGTCGCAGTGGCTGCTGGAGTGTTGACACTGGGGTCAGTTCATGATGCATCAGCTGCCAAGAGTGGGGGTAGAGTTGGTGGCAAGGCCTTCAGATCTTCGGCTCCTCGTTCCTCACCCAGAATCAACAACAACTCCAGGTAAAAAAATTCTTTACAAGTTTCGATGAATAGCTTCGCCAATGTAAAATCTGTCTGTTAATGATCTTCTCTGATGCTTGGACTGCTTGCCTCCCATCCTTTTACCTTTGCCTTCACTTGATCATTTTGTTCGTATCGTGACTGAAGTTGTTAACTGTCCCGGTTCATTGACATTTTATTGGTTAGCTTCTGGGAGTAATGCTACCATGTCCACAAATGAACTGAAGCTATAATTTTTAATTAATTAAATCTACAAAGGTATGGGTACCGTCATGCTAGTTTGGGACACTACATCGTAAGAATTGAAGTGCCATGTATGATATCACAATGTGTGTCGTAATATGTTCTGACATATATCATACACAGTTCAGTGTGTTCATGATTCATGGCCGTGGGTAGATTGAGCGTAATAGTAGCTGGTGTGTGAAATGTTTGTGTACAAAAGTAACTGATGTGTTACGTGTTTTCGTCTTCACATCTCTCTAGCTTTAAAGCAATTGGAGTTTGGGAACCAAGTAGGAATATAGTGAACTCTTTTGGGTATTAGAATGTAATTGAATTCACAAACGCGACACACATAAATCTTATTAATGCAGGACAGTAAAGTTCATTGATCCGTCTTTCTATATTCCAGTAATTTCTGAGAAATATGCTAGTTTGATCATATATGGTCACGTAGATTCTTATTTAGTCATGAAAATGTTGTTTTCCACATCAGATATTGCATGAATTTATGTGGCCTTCTTACGTAGTTGGGTCCAAACTCTTCCATATATGATTTAATCCCATTTTGGCTTATAGTTCATTTTATTTACTCCTTGGAGTATTATTTGAAGACCATATTAGAAGAAGAGGAAAAAACAATAGCCTTATATGTATTATGTCTGAATGATACTTGTTTCTTCCTAGTAATTCCCTATTAAGTTACATATGTGGGCATGAGATCAGGCATTCTGTTTACAGACCTATTTCTGGATAATCTTGTTTCTGAAAAAGAAAACTTGCATTGGCAGGACCAACATCTATGTGAATCCCCCTGTGGCGCCTCCTTTGGTCGGTGGCTATGGCTACGGTTATGGCGTGCCGTTCTATGGTGGGTGGGGCTGGTCTCCATTTTCGTTCTTCGCACCAGGCCCAAGTGTAGCAGTTGGCATTGGAGGTGGGTTTGATGCTATAGTGCTGTTTTTGGTTCTTGGTGCTGCTGCTGCGGTTGTGAGGAGATTCTTTAGGTCAAGAGATGAAGAGGATGACTACTAGCACCAGAAGAAGGGAAAAAAGAGAACAGTATTTTTTTTTTTCCTTAAATATTTTCAGAGAATGATACATGTATGTAAACTAGAATAGTAACCATGGTCGATATCCCAAAAACTTCATATCAGAGTAAGGAAAGGATTCTTTTTTTTTTAAAAAAAAAAGAAAAGAACAGCTTATTTGGTATGCCTCGCGTGACAAATCTGAACAAGCAACACCAATCTGTTCAGAGAACTTGCATAAAAATCATCTGCCATAAATACGACACTCGCTTTGGTGGCATAACTATGGAGGATCCATTTTCACAAGAAACAAAGCAAGGCATCATAAGAATGTAGAACTTTCTAGATGCACCTTTACCAACGACAGATTTTGAGGCTCTCAACCCACGCACATGAAAGGAAAGAAAAGATATGATTGTGGGGAAAAAAAATCTCGGAAGTTGTTGTAGAACTGTGAATACGGATGAAGCATCAGGGCCAGGAGGCGAAGTTGCGCAACTTATTAGGGTTTGAGTGGAGACTGATTTTCATGCGGGCTCTTGCTCTTGGTTGCAGGCTTACAGGCTTACTGCTATGTGAAACCATGAGGGTACAGTTGTAATTTTGTCTAATTGAACATTCCTTTCCCTCCCCAATTCCTCATTTTGGAAGAACAAAAGTTAGTTGTACCTGGGAATTTTTCAATGCATTGTGATGTGGATATCGGCAAATCAGGGGGAGGGTCGATGAATAAATAAATGTGTGCCATAAAGAGAAGAGAGACTAAAGTTTAATTAAGTATTAGCCGTCAAATATTTTAATGAAAGTATAAGATGTGACCAAATATTTTTCTCAAGGATATTTTACTATAAATGTCTATAGAATTTATAGACATGAAACATGAAAATTCGGTAATTCTGAAGAATACAACGATAAAGTGAGAGTGAGAGGAGAAATACATATAATCAGTTGTACCCCAATGGGTTGAAATGGTGAGGGTAAAACTAAAAGTGAGGCAATGTTGAATCCTGTATGACGAAGACAAATGCACATGTTCATCTGTTTGGTTTAAAACGGGTATGGAATCCATCACTCTATTAGCTGCACAGCTGCAATGGAAGGTATCTTGTCCCTCAACTTTTGAGTTAGGGCCACACGAACAGTCATAACTTTTGCAGCAGGTCCAGTGAGCCGAACTTTGACGACATAGTCATTAACCTGAACAAGTTCCAGTGTTCCTCCCCCAGTGCCACTAAGGTATGGTCTAATCTCAGCAAGAACCTGAAAACATTATAAGCTTCAGAATGCATTCACAAAGCAAAAGGAAGCTCTAAGCAGAACATGATTAGCTTAACACAGAATCCCAAAGCTCTAAGACATATCTGTGTTTTATGCAGAGACGATTTCTGCAAAATTAAGGCAACATAAAATAGTTGGGGCGGAAGGCACATGTAATATTTGTATTCCGTCTTGTTATTTAGCTCACTATCAGAATTGTTCAAGAAATAAGGAGAGACTTCCAACTTTCTGGCCCAACTGAGAAGAGTGCTTTTTAACCTTTTTTCTTTTAAACTGAATTAAAAGAGTAGGTATTAATGACATGAGATTACAAGCAGAATGGAACCCACAATCTCTCACTTAAAAGCATGAGGGCTTACATGTTACTACCTCCAGTCCCAGTTGACTAATTTGAGTATATTAAGAAAATTAGTTATGTTAGTTATTTGTAATAAATAGATATTGTTTTTCCTAAAATATCCTTACTAATCAAGTGTATCGATTAGAACTATTATTATTACAATAACTAACTTGTGAAAAAATAGATAAATATAGGATAGAAAATGTATTGGGCTATTATATTTAAAGCCAAAATAAAAATCACACAAGCTTTTATATTAAAGACCAGAGGTAGTATTCAGCCACAAGGACATTGGTGGAGAGTAATCTTTATGGTTTTGCAGAATGTACTAATCACTCATTGTCATTTTCAAGATGATGCCTATGAGTTTCAAACTTTCAATTTATTCTGGAACCTTTCATTAATAAAACCTACACTCACAACCCCTGGGAAGAAAAAGAGGGTTCGATTGTCGATATGAAAACCTACAGGAAATTGGATGGGATATACTCAAGCTTGTGAAGCAAAAACAACAGCCTTTTTCAGTCTTAGACCTTGAGGGTGCGGGTGGGTGCTGCAGTGCAAGTTTCTAGCAGATGACTTCCTTTTACTTCTTAGACTAAGAGGCCATGAGGATGCATAATATTGATCAAATGATATAAATGCTGGAAATTAATGCATAAATAAAGTTCGTACACTTTCAACATTATCCTCAGTTAATTCAAGTCCAGTCTCAGTGTCAACTATCTGCTCCACCTCCAGGATTTCAGGAATCTTATCTTTGAGGCGTGTTTCAATTCCCATCTTTAAGGTCATGGTTGAGCTAGGACATGACCCGCATGCTCCTTGTAGCTTGAGTATAACAACAAGGCCATCTATCTCATGTAGAGCCACATTTCCTCCATCAGCCATCAAGCTAGGCCTTACCTCATCCAAAACCTTCTCTACATTCTCTTCCGTAAGTGGTAGCACACAGGTTGGTGAGACCACAACTCCTGCAGCCTCCAAATGTTATTGCTATAGCCAGTTATTTTCTCCACATCATTTGCGGGCTAATTTGATAAATGAAACTAACAAGTATTATTATAAGTTGCTCAGACACCTTATCCTTTCATTTTAATCATGTGTTCATAAACACCAGAATAACATATGACAAAGTTTTTCAAGACAAAGATGTGTTATTTTTCATATTGCAGCGTAAAATCATATTTCTAAGGCAATGCTATATTCTATACACATTCTGTTCAAAATTCCATAGTCAAAATGCTCTACAATTTCTTGCCCATAATCAATTCAATGTTACTCAAATTCATAAGGTCATACAGTGCATTCGATACCTGTTCTGTTTCGTCGTCGAGTACGCCTAAAAGACCGCGCGAAGTTGATTTGGCGACCTCCGCTAAAAGAACTTTGTTTAGCGGATAATCCTCTGGCATTTGAAATGGGTTCCTAGAAAAAAACGAACATAATTGAGTAATTCTGTAGAATAAATAGTATGAACAAGGGCAAAGAGGAGCAAAATCAAGAGCACCTTCAAGAGAGATATAGGGGCGGAGGATAATCTATCAGAAGCTATGAGCGAGGAGTTGAGTGCAGAAGCTGAAGTTGCTGCATTGAGGCCTTGAGATTGAGAAGAAAGTATACCACCCAACATTTGAAATCTACCATAAGAGTAGTGGAATGCAAAATCAAAGTTTAAAACTTCATCATTTTTGGTTTCTGGGTGAAGTTAAATTCTGAATTCTGATATTCGCGTTGCAGCGCTGAATGGTGAAGATGCTGATAGAAAGCGTTCACTGATTGGCTCAAATTTTGTGATGATTTTAATAATTATTTATGTATAAAGAGGTGAAAGAAAATGAGGGAGCCAAGTTTGTGGACAGAAGTGAAAGATGAAGGATGGGGAAGGAGGGAGAGACACGTTGTGTCAGACTCAGACCCAAGTTAAATTTGCGTAGTTGAAAACTTGAAATTATATTCGAGATATATTTATAGCAAGTGATTTTTTAAGAATCATATTATATTCTTGAAAACTTGTAATACCCAGTTTGTTTTAAAAATGGATAGGGTATAATATTAAGACATCAAAATATATTTAATTGATAAGATTTGAATAATATTTTGATGGGGATTTATGTATATTGAATTAAATGAGGAGTATCGTTATTAAATGGGATTTCAATTTAAGGGTCAAATGAAGGAATTAATAATTAATTTTGAGTTTAAATGATATCTTAATTAGGATTTGAATATATTAAATTAAATAAAAAACATCATAATTAAATACTACGTCAATTGGAAGCTTAAATAAAGAAATAAATAAATAATTTTAAATTTTTATATAGTCTTCTTAATTTTGAATATCATTTGAATAAATAAAAAAATTACACTTCTATAAAAAGTGAATATAATTTTAAACTGTCTTAGATAATACAATTTATTATCATTTAAAATTTAATCAAATATTTTAATTCGTGCATCGCACGGGGAAGAAATCTCTAGTTGAGCTTATAAATAGTGTGATTCGTGATAAATTTTAAATTACATATTGATTGATAGACTAATATTAATATTAGTAATTCATTTTAATAAATTGAAATAATTTATGCATAAACAAATTTAATATAGATCATTTTCATTTGTTTGTTTGTTAGTTATTTTCTCGTTTTTTATACTTAGGGTATGTTTAGATCAGTGATTGAAAAAGTCGTTTATTGTCAATTTGGCTTATAGAAATTAAGTTAAATAAAAACTAAATTGGATAAGTTAAATTGTGTTTATATTAGAGTTCTGAAAATTAGTTTGCAAAAGTGAGATTAATAAAGAGTTGTTTGGATTATAGTTGAATAAAAGTAAGTTTGGTTGTAAAATAACCAAAATGGGTATGAGTTTTAATAAATAATGAAACATGATTAAAAAAAATAATTTCACATAATACAATGAAATTAAAATAATTTAATATGAGGAAGTCAAATTTAATGGGTGAATTAAATTTTAAAATTTTAGAGAAATCATAAAAAAAATTTAAATATAAAGTGAAACATGAAAATAAAAATATATTTCTAAGAGCATATTTAAAAACAAAAGCATATTTCTAACTTATTTATTACTTTCAACTGATTTTAACTGATTTTTTGTTATCTACAAATTAGTCATTTGAGGTTTATAATAAGAATTAAAGAAGGTAATAAATTTCTTAACTTTTTTCTCTCCATGTTTCAAAAGTTATAAGTCATAAACTGTTAATTTTAGTTTATAACTTGTTGTAATTTTTCATGCAAAAGCCAGATTGTCCAATCACCCATCAAAATAGCATCCAAATTTCTAATCAAGCTTTTGCCCAATTTAAGCTACTTTTCATCCCTGAAAAGCCCAACCAAACAGGCACTTAATCATTAATATACCAATCTCAATATGTGAGTCAGAGAGAGATACACACACATTACAAGTTATAAATAGTGAAGTTTATTCCTTAAACTCCGTATTGCGTGGGAACATGCTTTTTTTTTTTTTTATGTAAATTACTTTGTAGATTGTTGCATTGCATGTTTAGACACAACATGGCATTATATA